AAGGGACAGGCAGCCCCCACAGCAGAGACCCAAAGGCTCTGTCTGTGTGAAGCCCAGAACCATGGACTCTGTCTGGGTGGCTGTCTCTGAGGTGCCGGGGAGGGGGGAAGTGGGCGCAGACCCCGAGGGGACCCTCGGGGTGTGGCACGTGCCCATTCATGTCATGCCACTGGTGGACTGGCTATGGCTGGGACTGTCTGCTCTGGGGGACTCACAGGCAGGGCCTCAGGCCCTCCCACTCACCCTCCTGTGCGAACTCTCACGCTAACTCGGGCTTCAGGCTCAAGAGCGTGCCTGTTTGTGCAGCCTGTTCATGAGGCTCCAGTTGCGTGGCTCCCTGGGGGGGCTGGGTGAAGTAGGAGCCGGGGGGGGGTGTGACCCTCCTCGGTCCACTTAGCCTGCTCCCAGCTGGCTAGGTCCCTCCCTCCATTGATTCCTGTTTACCTCCCAGCAGGCCGGGGCTTTTCAGGGGTCCTGGGGTCACTGCTGGTGTTCCTGGGCTCATGGGGGTGCAGTGGACTTACACCCGTGCATCTTGCAGCAAAGCCGGACTACTACCAGTGCCATAGGGGTAGAAACAGTATTTAATTCCCTATTATCAATGGTGGGTCACCATGTACCATTTAGTTTTCTCACCGGCCGTACAGGAGAATTGGCAGGAGAGAGTTGGGGTCAAATAATTTTGCGCTCTCGCAAGGTTTGAATGAACATGGAGATGCTTTGAACTGCTTCCCTTGGGATTGGGTATTGAAGTGATTTAGGTGGGGCTCCTCCTGGAATCCAGACTGGTTGATTCTTGATTTTTTTTTTTATTATTATTTATTTATTTATTTATTTTAGCAGACCTGCATCTAAACTGTCAGCAGGACATATGTTTTCCCATGTCTTCCAACCAAACTCCTTATGCTGCCGTGCTGGGCCTCCCATGACTACCCATACAAGGTGGTTGGCTAAGTCTATACAACAATGTTGTAAAAGGGCATTCGAATAATATTAAGGGATGGGTGACACGTCCATGCCAATTGGAACTTTTGCACTTGGTGATGCAAGTTGTTCACTGACACTAGATGTGTCACCTTCCACCTTTAATTGAAGCCTCCTGTGGCTCCTGAAAATGAGACTAGGGACTTTCCCTCCCCCTCCATAAGGGAGATGGTTGTACTGAAATTTAGCATGGATCTGGTATCTAATAGAAAAACATCATAAGGTGCCCTTCCTTCTCCCCAGCCCTGGATCCAAGGTCTCCTGTCCTGATTGAATTGGAATGAAAGACACTGACTGGGACCACAGGAGGTACATTCCTGGTTTTGGGGGGACACAGTTGGATTTTCAGGCCCTAAAATGAGAGTCAGAACCTGAGGTGTTGGGTGAGGGATGCCACATTTGAAACATGTCATTCTATTGGGAAAATTTATAGCTGGGCACACCCTTTGGGGGCACTTTCAGTCCCCTGGTTGGTGCAGTCAGGGACCCTTGTTGTTGTTATCTTTTTGCTTGCCTTCTTCATGACTAAAATGTTTGATACATGGCTTGTTGGACGAGCTGACAAGCTTAGCAGATAAATCTTCCACCATGCATTCCAATTGGTGGAGCTGCATCTTGGACTCTGTGGCCCCCTGGTTCTGCTGGGCTTGGGTAGTTTGTTGTAATCACCACCAAGCTTCAGCTCGGTCAATGTAATTATGTAAGCTGCCAGCTTGTAACATTCCATCCTGCATTTCTAGCATAGTGATTAATTCTGGGGGAGCTAGCTGTATCCATATATTGTACAACCAATGGGCCCTATTGTTGCCTCCCTCCCCGGGGCAATACCCATTGTGCAGCTAGAGGATCTTCCCATACTTGGGCCCAAGTCTGTCCCCATTCAATTATATCTTGGGGGTGTTTCTTTGGGAGTGGGTGCATTTGACTTGCTCCTTGGTTCACAGTATAAATTCCAAAGAACTTTCGGGCTATAGCTGTCATTCGAGGTTGCCACTGTCCCTCCCCTAGGAGGGCACAACAGATTCCTTTTGCTGACCCAGGTAAAATTTCAGCCAAATCTGTACATGAAAGCAGAGCAACACTTTTTTCTGCCTTTGATAGCCACTGGGTCCATGTGTTCCATTCTGAAACCATAGGGTTTAATTGAGCCCTTAATGCTTCTTGCTCCATAGGGCTAGGAGCAGTAATTCTAAAGTGCTGTATTTGAGTAGTTTCTGTGGGCAGGGCTAAACCAAATCAGCGCACCAGCCTTTGGTCAGCAGACTGCAGAGCTTCTCCTTCACCAGTGGGAGGAGGGGTTAGGTATACAGTTCACTCAACAGCGTGCACTTCTGCTGAGTAAATCAGGGGGATCAGGAAGAATAGGTGGGGGTGCAGGGGATGGGTAAAGAAGGGGTGCAGATGGTGTTACTGTGGGCAGCACCTTGCCACTTAGAACAGTGACACTCCAGGAATCTGTTGTATTTCCCTGAGTCTCATGCTCTACCTGCATCTTATCAATAAGAGACTTGAGTGATACAATCTCACACTTTGTACCTCACAACTCTTCTGAGTCTCTTTCTTTCATCTCAACAGAAAGCACTGAAGCACGATTGTGAAGTAGTTGCTGCTGGGCTACAACATCTTTAAGTTGACAAATAAGAGCATCCTTTTCTTGACAAAGCCTTTCCTGTTCTTGACAATCAAGCCATAAGGCTTGAACACACCTAGACAACGCCTGGAGGGCAGCTGCTTTCTGGAAGGTTTGCTTTTGAGCTCTTTCACTTAAAATTCCCTCAGCCCACTCCCGGGCCATACTCCAAGATGGGCTGGATGGATTCTCCTGGGGCCCCTGCAGTGGACCCCCATTCCAGCCCTCAATAAAATCACGGAGGTGACCCTGACCCCACACACAAAGAGGAAAAGCCTCTGAACCCACTGCCATGCTACTGGGGAAACGTAAAAGACAGGGTACGATAGCTGAGCCAGCCCAAGAGAACCTAGTACATGTGAGGCAACCCAGGCCCAAGAGAACCCAGTAGGCCTGCTAGGCCTTACCCTGGTAGGATGGGATGATCAGTCCCCTCTGAATGTGTTGAATCCTGCTGACTGTGCCAAGATGTTAGACCCCAACTCCATGCAATGCCCAATGACTAGGGAGACAATGGTCTAATTACCTGTGGATCCTGTTACTCAATAGCCAGAGAAGAGCAGGGAGCAAACACCAGCACACATTGCTCGTAGAAGCTTTTTATTAGGATTGAGACAGCTTTGGGTGAGCTCCCATACTGATAGCATATAGGGAGCAACCCCGAACAATAGGTTCCTCTTACATTTATACACTTTGGTTTATACTCATTAACATTTTCTCCACCCTTGTCCCACCTTTGTTTTGCCCGTTTCTCCTCCCATCTCAAGCTCCACCTCTATTTACTGTTTGCTTCATTAGCATTAGCCTATGTATTTCATTCTTTTGCATGCCTTTTTGCTATGAGCGCATGTCCAAGGACATGAACCCTCTTCTTTCGATCAATGGGCAGACTCTGGAGTTTTCTTTACCAATCACCATTCACCCCTTTGCATATGTTCATCTTGGCTATATGTTATCTTTCATATTCCAACCTGTTTTCTTGTCCCAGGTTGTGCCATCCTCCCTCTTCTTGGGCCCCTTTATCTTATCTCGTCCCTTGCTGTAGCTGGTTCACAGCACACAGACTTAATTGCTGCTTTTTCTAGAAAAAAATGGTTACCACAATGAAAATGGTTACTTAATATAGACAAATCTTATATATATGTTTCATAGACGTTGTATTATATGATTAAAACTACTTGCCTAAGCATCTGCAAGGTTATTTTAATATATCATTTTGCCTTGTGACAGCTTTCCTGGGACGCAGATCAAAGCCTTATTCCAGCTGCAGATTCAATGCTTCCTGTTGCAGGGCACTTTAGGTGCCCGTCTCCTATAAAAAGTGGGAACTGCCATGGAAATACCCCTAGCAGTGAGTAGGGAGCCCCAGCTGTGGGTTACCAGGGCAACCAGAGTGAGCCAGCGGCACACACCTGCCAGCAGTCAGCTGACAGGAAGGGGCAGGGCCTGGCTCACATATAATTCCCAGGCCTGAGGCCAGTTCCTTCCAGCCACCAAGGGCGAAGGAGCTCTCCCAGAACAACCAAAGGAGAGAGGCCTGTCTGCAGGAACCGCTCCTGCCACTGTTGAGGAACAGAGTATTCCCTGGTGATTGATGTTATAGCCGGGAAGTTTGGATTTTGTTATAGCCCAGGGGCTTGTGTTTTGCTTGCTGTTTTAACTGGTGGCTTGGGTGAGTCTGTAAGGGGATGGAGGAGGCCTCATAGGGGACCGGCAGCAGTGTGGGGGCCTCGGCACCAGAGAGGGCACAGCATTGGGGGTGCATGGACCCTGAGCACCAGTGATGGCACAGAGTGAGATAGAGCTGTGGAGAGCCCGAGTGCAAGTGAGGGCGTGGAGTGAGACAGGGCTGCAGAGAACCCAGGGAGGACAAGGGGGCAGATAGTGCCCCCTGGCATTGGGGCAGTAAATGGGCAGCCTCCCACTAATTAACATCAATTAATCAATTAACAACAAGGCATGGCAGGAGAGAAGGTGGGGGGTTGGCCCATAACAGGTGGATGGGGCCACCAGTAGACAGACCCCGGAGAGGAGTACCTGTTACACTCCCCAACAGTTTGAATGATGGTTACCCTAACATTGCGCTGCATTGGTAATGAAGTTGCCAGTAGGCCAAGGAAAGTGATTACTCCCCTCTCTTTAGCACTGATGAGGCCACATCTGGAGTGCTGTGTTCAGTTTTGCGCCCTCCACTATAGTAAGGATAAGGACAGATTGGAGAGAGTCCAGCAGAGGGTAACAAAAATGGTGAGGGGGCTGGGGAACATTACTTATGAGGAAAGACTGAGGGTTATTAAGTCTACAGAAGGGGCAAATGAGAGGGGATTTAATAGCAGCCTTCAACTACCTGAAAAGGTAGTGGCAACATGTAGGGGGTGCATGGGGTACACGTGCACCACCTGAGAGTGCTAGTGCATCCCTTGACAGCCAGCGTTTCCAGCTTAGGTGAAGGGTGGAGGGGCAGGTGAGATGGCTTGTCTCCCCTTTGAGTGCACCAGCCAAGGAGTGGTGGCACCAGGAAAAACAATCCCCATAGTTCCCTGGTGACCAGTTGTGCTGACTGGGGGCGGGGGGTCAGCACGATCGGCTATAAGGGAACCCCACACTCCCGGTCAGCATGATTGGCTTTGGGGGGACCTTCCCCAGTTGCTGACTGCTGCTGGGGGGACAAGTGCCCCCCCCAACTCAGGAGGCACCAATCACCCATGTGAAGGGGGGTTCCAAAGAAGACAGAGCTAGACTGTTCTCAGTGGTGGCACGTGACAGAAAAAGGAGCAATGGTCTCAAATGCAGCAAGGGAAGTTTACATTAGATATTAGGAAGAATTTTATCACTGGGTGGTTAGTTAATTCTTGGAACAGTTTATCCAGAGAGGTGGTGGAATCTCCATCCTTGGAGGTTTTCAAAAAGTTGCTAGGCAAAGCTTTGGCTGTGATGATCTAGTTAGGGATGGTCCTGCTTTGAGCAAGGGGGTTGGACTAGATGACCTCCTGAGGTCCCTTCCAACCCTAACTTTCTTTGATTCTATTATATTAATTGAGTAAGAAGAGGATAATGAGTAGAAGTGGGTGGTTTTTGTGAGGGGGCTTTTAGGAATAGGAATAAAAATACATTCAGCAAACAAAACTAGATTGAGAGATTCTTTATGGGCGCTCTGTTTTATCTTCATGTTCTAGCTCCATTGTAAGCTGTTTTGGTCCTCCTGATCTATTTTTCATTTATCCTGTTTTCTTATTGTAAGCTGCCCTGAGCCTTTGTTGGGAAGGACAGCATAACAGGTGGATAAATAAATTAAGAGAAGAAAAACCACAGGCGCATACTTGTTGCATTTTTATCCCTGCTCTAAACATAAACACTTGGTTTTCTGTAATGGATGTTTTCATTTTAATTTCAACCCTAGAATAGCAGGAAATAATTTGGATGTGGCATCCAACTCAAATGGACAAAATGTTGGGGAGTGTGGTGGAACCATAGCTAAGACTATAGATATTTCCAATTTTTAGTTACTTAGAACTAACACAAGAGTTTTAGTTTTCCTGGTTTTATTCTTACCAGTCAGATCAGCAATAGAAATATGATTTGTTTTTATGTATCAGCTTCTTAACAAGAAATCAGATGCTAAATGTGTCAGTCTAAAACATTTAGTAGTGAAAATAATGATAGAAATACTAAGAGAGGATGAAAAGCCATGGTAAAGGTTAGGATTTTGATTTTTTGACACAGATTATGTTGGGTCTTTTCTGTAGATATTCAGCACAAAACACTTCCAAAGGAATTTTCCACACACTACTCTAAGGCAGCCTCTCATTTGAAACTTATAAAATTCCCAATTATTTCTGAATCAGAGATTGATCAACACCAACATTATCAGTTTACTTCTATTTGATTGGTTTTCTTTTAGGTTTAATCTTTCTTTTTCTTTGTTACTAGTTTAAAGGAAAGGTCTCTACTCATGGGGCCTAGGGAGCAGAAGCCAGTGACTTTATCTCCCATACTTGCGAACTATATTTCCATGTGGATATAGTTCTTTTATATTTTATGCATAAATTATCTCAACTTTCTTTCAGATTAGAAAATTTCAGTTCTACCATAGCATATGACACTATATCACACCTCCAACTTTATTAGATGACCTTTTGCACCATTAACATTCACTTTTTTTTTCTTGGAACAAACTTAACATAACTACAACAACTGTGCTTGTTGCCTCATTTGATATAGGAGAGAAAGGACATAAAAACAGCAGCTGAGATCCTGATAACTAATGGAATTGTTACAACTACCTTGAGAGAGTTTTTGTGACGATGTCCGAAAACAATAGCCAAGTATCAGTAACTGAACAGAACGGATAAGAGATATATAAAACAACCAGTTCAGAAAAGTTTAATAAAGGCATAATGAAAATAAAAGCTTAGCTACTGAAACAATATTAAATAAATAAAAATTAAACCTGATTATGTCTGTTTGGAACCAGACAGACATAATGAGACTTAGTCATCTGGAACACTGAAAAGACTGGCATATTCTAAATATCTTTTGTGGGAGAAGTTGCAACAGTATTGCTTTATATGATTTGGCTTTGATTTGTTTTAGTTAGCGTGTTTATTATTTCTTTAATGTTCCTTTAAAAAAACCTCCCATTTATTAAGAAAGGTTTTATTCCTTCATATCAAAGGATTAAATTGGTCTGACTGAAAAAAGAGAATGAACCATTCTTTAACCTTCACCTGTCCTCTGAACCAAGCATTTGCTGACAATTCACTTTGTGCTTAGATGTAAAGGTCATAGAAAGCTTTGAAATAGTCAAGAACCCCCCCTCCCTTCCTCTTGTGCCTCAAGGATTATGTTCTTGAGAGAAGACCATTCCTCATGTACTCCCTTATGTAACGGGATATGTCCGCTGATTGCCTGACTTATCAAATATCTTGAGTTTGCAAAAGTCAGCCTTCCCAAAGTTAAGGATTTTGGCTTTACTTAGGGATTTACCTGGTCTTTGGTGAACTGAGAAGGTGACCAAATCATGGTCTCTGTCATCAAGCTTCCCCTTGCTGACCAGGTCCTTCCATTTGGCCAGGACCAGATCAAGCAATGCCTCTCCCCTAGTCAGCCCATAGACTTCTGTCAGCCCATAGACTTCTTGTGTTAGGTAGAGGTCATCAGTGAAACACAGCTGCATGACCTGTCTGATTTGGCCATGCGCTCATCCCAAGAGATGTCAGGGAAGCTGATTTCCCCCATGATGATCATGCATCGGGAGCATGTGGCCTCAACCAGTTCCCTATTGAATTCCTGATCAAGTTCTCTCTCTTGGTGGGGAGGTCTATAGTAGACTCCCACAATTATGTCACCCTTCCCATGTTCTCCCTGTATTTTGATCCTGAGGGTCTCAAGACATCCTTAGTGGTTAGAAAACTCAGTCTTCAGGGAAGTGAACTGATCCTTGATGTAGATAGCAACACCCCCCACCCCTCATCCCAAGACAGTTTCTCCTCTTGGAGAGATATAAGGTATAACCCTCCAAAGCAACAGATCAATCATAGGTAGAGTCCCACTAGGTCTCTGTTATCCTTACAAGGTCATAGTTATTTTCACATAAGAGAAGGGCCAGTTCCTCTTGCTTGTTTCCCAAGATCCTGCCATTTGCCTCTAGGCAGTTGAGATTAGTTAAATGGGCAGACCAGAACCAGATGCTGTTCAATACTGAGAACTGTAAAGTGTTCCATCTGGGGAGGTAAAATCTACAACAAACTTACGCGCTTGGTGGTGCTATGTTATTTAGCACCATGTCTGAAAGGGACCTGGGGGATCAAAATTGACCAGAAAATGAATATGAATAACCAGTGTGATGCTACAGTTAGCAGAGTCAACAATATGCTGTCATGCATCAACTGATGCATCTCAACCAAAACTAAGGAAGTTATTTTCCCACTCTACTTGGCATTGGCGAAGCTGCAGCTGGACTACTGCATCCAGTTCTGTGTGCCACACTTCAAGAAGGATGTGGAGAATCTTGAGAGTCCAGAGAAGAGACACTTGTATGATCAAAGGCTTGAAGAGCAAGTCATATGAGGAAAGGCTGACGGACATGGGACTTTTCAGCCTAGAAAAGAGAAGATTTTATAGGGATTTGCTGACAGCTTACAAATATATCAGGGTAAAGCATCAGGGGCTAAGTGAACAACTATTCACCAAAGCACCCAGGTGCAAAGCATCCTTGGGTGCTGGTGGACTGTGAGTTCACTTGAATCTGGAAGAGATCTGGGACAGAAGTTCAATAAACCAATTTAACCTAAATCTGTTAAGTCTGATACTACGTCCATCCAGGTTGATCTTAAATGGGTTTTGGCCATTTTGAAAGCAGTTTATGTGCACTGAAATTCTGTTGTTACAGATTTGAGTAATTTTCTGATCACTTATACCTGTCTGTGTGTAATTTCTGTCTCTAACCTTGCTGTTACAAGTCTGAGTAAACACAGACAAATATTTGCAGAGAGAAGTAAGATATAGAAATGTAATCAAAACATGACAAGACAAGTGAGCTATTGGAGAAAATTTTACCTAGATTTATTCTAAAAGAAAAGAAAGTGCTGTATCCAACGGGCATGCTAGACTGGTTGCAACAAAAATGGCTTCTCTATCATTTACATGACACATATATCCTAATCCAGATGCTTTTGAATGGTATACCTCAATTAACATTGAATACATCAAAAATAAATGTATGCTCATGTGTATGCTCTGTACAGATTTCCTGAAATATTCTGATCACCCTAATAAGCCTAATATTCTGGTCACTTTATATATAAAAGATTCCTCCTCGCTCCCTCTCCCCCCTCCCATTACTGAGACAACTGGTTTGTGCATTACCTTGTTCCAAAACTAAACTTCATTTTTTTTCCTCTTCCAGAACTGTCCAGGTTGTCCTTCAAATATTACTTAATGAAATGGTTAAGAATTGTATCCAATACCCTGAAAAATATTGATTAACAAATCTTTTGTGAGTGGTAAGTTCAGCTGAAGTATTAAATTAGTAATACAGACACTTTAATTGAGATAGTGACTTGTTTGAAGGGAAATTTTGTCAAACTTTCTATAATTTGTCAAGTAATATTGTACTGTTGTAAAAAAAGCACTCTAAAGTATACAGTCCAGATAGCTTTTTGAATAACTCTCCTTCTGTACTTCTTTCAGAAACCTACCAATTCACATGTTCTGATTCGATATCAGCCCTCCCAGGCTACCCTTACCTAGTAAGGGCTTTGTTACATATTAAGTTTACATAGCTCAAGAAAATCTTAACCCCCACTTGTCCACACATTAAAGTGTGTAAATCAGTTTGATGCACCCTTAAAGAATGTGTGGCCACTTTCCTCAGATAAGCCACCCAAGTTTCAGTCCTCCAGCATCCGAGGATGTAGTGTCCCCTCCCCAACCCCTCTGTGTGGGCAACTCACAGCTGTAGCTCCTAGTTAGGCCTCTGCACACCAGCCTGCTAGTGCCAAGTCACAGCTGTGCAGGCCAGGTACACTCAGAGGTTTTAGCTTGAACATGCAACTACTCTGAACTCAAACTAACACTAACACTGGAGATGTTTGAAGTGCAATATGTAACAAGGCCTGAATTCCATGATCCTCTAATGATCCATTTTCTCTGACATTTTGCCATTTTTCTGAAGATGTTCAGGCCTTCTTTATTTTATTCTTCTGATTTTCTTTATTCTTTTGTCATCTAATCTCCCTACATCTTTGATCAGGGCAAAGAAGGAGAAAAGCTACAGATCACCATAAGCAAGGAGTACATCAGAGAGCTTTGGACAAATCTAAATAAATTTAATTGGCAGAACTTCAAGAAAATCATGTTAAGGTGCTGAAGAAACTAGCTTTACAAATTTTGGAGTGACTGGGCATGTCTACGTGTGCACCCCACCACATAGTTGGTAATGCACAGTTATTTAGTACTTACCTTATCAAGTACTAAATGACTGAGCAGTACTTGCTAGTATGGTAGTCTTTGTGGTGCATGGGTTGCTTTTGACCCTACTGTGCAGTAGCAATGAGTTACTGTGCACTAGCTCATTGCTACTACACAGTAGCAGCAGTGTCATGGTTATTGCCAGCTGATGCTACATCGCAAAAGCAACAAGCTACATCACCATGTTTATCGCTCTGCTAACATTGCACCTCATTTAGATGTGTCTGCTTGTAATGCTATTTGGAAAGCCATGAGCCAAAGTCTCAGAAGATTGGAAATGAGCTAACATAGTTATTTTATAACTTGCTCCAGTAACTTACCAGGCATTGAAGTCAGTCTGACCAGTTAATAACTTTCGCATCTTCCTTTTTCTTCCTTTTACATATTAGAACTGATTTGTAAACACTTATAAAAGGAAGGGGTGATTACTAGCAGTCAACATGGACTTATTAAGAACAAATCATGACAATCCAACTTGATTTCCTTCTTTGGCAGAGTAACTGTTTCAGTGGATGGATAGGACATGGTGAACAAAATAGCTGGACTTTAGTAAAGCCTTTGATACACCAAGCTAAAGAAATGTGAACTCAACAGATCTACTGGTAGGTGGGTATGTAACTGGCAGAATAATAGCAAGAACAGAGTAACTATAAATGGATCAATGTCAGAAGGGCAAAAGGTTTTAAATGGAGTTCCTCAAGCCTATATTCTAGGTCTGTTGTTGTACGATATTGTTATTAATGGCTTGATGGAGAAAGAGAGAGCTTCTTCATATTTACAGGTGATATCAAAGTAGGAGCAGTAAACACTTTGGAGGATAAATTTAGCATTCAAAAGGACCTTGATAAACTGGAGGACTGGACACTATGAAATGAATTAAATGAATGTATGAAATTCAATAAACAGATTCCTCTTATACCTCAGAGAAAACTTCCTAACGTAAAACCAATAGAACAGTTGAATAAGCTACCTATGGAAGTTATGGGATCTTCACTGGAAGTTTTCAAGAAGATTCTGGACAACCATTTGCCCGTATTGTTATAAGAATAGTGATTCCTGCATTTTTGCAGGGCGTTAGAACAGATGATTCTTCTGATTCTTTCACTTTATGATTTTATGAGCTTTCTTCCCTTGTTTTAATGACTGTTACTGCTACTTAAAAATACCCTTAGGTTTTCTAGACGCCCATTATATTAGTATCTTATGGCTCTTACTAATACACCTGGTATAAGACAGCATAAATTCAGGGAACAGTGGCAATAATGTCTTCCTATCAAGCTTGGTATATTGTGTGATTAATTCTATTTTCAGCTTTTACTTTCCTCTGATGTGTTGTGGTATAGGTTTTATGTTATAATATCTTGTCTGTTTCTTAGATGGAGAAAATAGTTTATTTTTCTCTTTGAGAAATGATAGCATTTGATTAACACTGTCCTAAATGATTTCCCAACTTGAAAATGTTCCATTTCTATTTTCCTAAGTTAGCAATATTTTCATTCATATAGAATATTTATTGTTTTGTCTCTGAATTTTTCCTTTTTATGATTCTACTTGATTAATATTTAACTGTTGACTGATACATTTTTCTCAAGCTGCAATATTTTATTTTCTAATGCTTACCATATGTTGGCTGTTTCTTTTATATGATTTCCCTCCGCCTTGTTTCCTCAGTCTCCCATTGCTAAAATGTAAACACAGATGTCTATATACAGTGGGTGCTATTACTATTTCAATGTGATGAGACAACACTCCAGGTTTTGTTCTCCTTGCAGTTATATTAAGTTTAACCCACATATTTATTAGCCTGGTTCTGTCAGTTTTGCATTGGCATGCCTTTTATATACTTTAAACATACTTTAACTTTGTGTCTATTTCAGATAACCTTGTGATTTGAGAGACCCATTTTCCTCAAGTATTCATTAAAAATAGTTATTTAAGTTCTGCTCTTGCACCAACAAAATTAATTGGTACCTTGCCACTGACTTCAATAGACACAGCATAAAGCCCCCCATGAACAAAGCTGCTGCGCAAGACCACTTTGTTTTGCAAAAATAGCCCTCGACTGATCTTTCAATGTGATTTTCCAGGGTTTTGCCTGCATCCGTTGTGGCAATTACTATCCCTGGATTTTCCTGAAAGTCACTTAGGTCTAGGTAAAAAATGGACTTGTCATAGAAACAACAATAAAAATAAAATACTACAGGAAATGGACATTTTGGGCTACAGGATGCTAAAGATACAGTAGACTAATTCTACTGCACATTACTGTTGCCAGCAAAAATGGGCTAATGCATGAATGTGCAGTAGAAGTAGTCTACTGCTCATTAACATCACAAAAAAAAGTGTGTGCCAGCACTACTACACAGTAGCATTAATTACAGCACATTAAATTAGCACCTGTAATCACAGGTATTAAACTTAATGCACCATAATTACAGTGCATTCATGAATGCATAGATGTGCCCTTTGTTTGTTTGCTTGTTTTGGGGGGTAAAGTCCCCTTAAAAATTAGGGTGCTTGTTTTCAGTACAAAAACTGGAGGCGGGGAGGGGGAAACATATGTGGAAGACAGGCTGAGAGCTATGGGGCTTTTTAGCCTGGAAAAGCTCAGGGGTGATCTGATGGCCACCTATAAGTTTAATCAGAGGTGACCACCAGTATCTGGGGGAACATTTGTTCACCAGAGCAGCCCAAGGGATGATGAAGTCGAAAGGTTATAAACTACTGCAAGACCATTTCAGGCTATACTTAAGGAAGAATTTCTTTACTGTCTGGGCTCCCAAGGTCTGGAATAGCCTGCTGTCAGAGGTGGTTCAAGCACCTACATTGAAAACCTTCAAGGGAAATTTGGATGCTTATCTTGCTGGGATCCTATGATCCCAACTGACTTCCTGCCCTTCGGGCGGGGGGTTGGATTCAATGATCTTCCGAGGTCCCTTCCAGCCCTAATGTCTATGAAATCTATGAAATTAGTTATTAATGAGGAAATTATTTAAAAGGCAGAAGAAAGAACCTGGATAAAACTATATATATATTTATCCTTAAATGACAGGCTGACATTGAGAAATGGGGGACCAGAGAACCACAAATATAAGCTCACAAAATAATTAGGAAATGCATTATCCTAAAAATTTTAGCAAAAGGCAAGGGGCAGAGAATGGGAATCAGCATTTTTAGGTTCTTTCCCCATTTACTTCCATAGATTTTGTAGACACTAGGGCTGGAAGGGACCTCGGGAGATCGTCGAGTCCAGCCCCCTGCCCCAAGGGCAGGAAGTCAGCTAGGGTCAAAGGATTCCAGCAAGATAAGGATCCAAACACTTCTTAAAGGAGTCGAGAGTAAGTGCTTTTACCATCTTTGGAGGGAACCTATTCCAGGTCTTGGGGGCTTAGACAGTAAAGAAGTTTGTCCTTATGTCCAGGCTAAAATGGTCTTGGAGGAGTTTGTGACCATTTGACCTTGTCATCCCTTGGGGCATTCTGGTGAACAGACATCCCCCCCAGATCCTGATGCACACCCCGATGTACTTATAGGCTGCCACCAGGTCATCCCTGAGCCTGCACTTTTCCAGGGTGAAGGGTCCCATGGCTCTCAGCCTCTCTTCATGGGGACTATTCTCCTGTCCCCTGATCATGCATGTGGCTATCCTCTGAAATCTCTCAAGCTTCTCCACATCCTTCCTGAATTGTGGAGCCCAGAATTGGATGCATAATTCTAGCTGTGGCCTCACCAAGGCTGAGTACAATGGGAGGATGACGTCCTGAGATTTACTTGAGAAGCATCTCTGGATGCAAGCCAGAGTTTGGTTTGCTTTACCACATGCAACATCACATTGGTGGCTAATGTTCATCTTGTGGTCAATCATGACCCCCAAGTCTCTTTTGGTCTTGGTGCTAGTGAGTGTTGCACTGCCGAGTCTATAAGCCTACTGCAGGGAGGGTTCCCCAAGGTGGAGTACCTTACATTTGTCGGTATTGAATGTCATCATGATTGTATCTGCCGACTTTTTCAGCTTGTCCAAGACAGCCTGGATCATTAGCCTATCCTCAAGTGTGGATGCTCTACCCCAAAGTTTGGTGCCATCGGCAAACTTGGCCAGTCCACTCCTGACACCAGTATCCACATCATTGATGAAGACATTAAAGAGATCATGCCCAAGGATGGAGCCACTGGTCACGGAGTACCATTATGATTCATTTTTGTTGACCACCACTCTCTGACTCTGGTTTTGGAGCCAATTTCCCAGCTATCAGACTGTGATGTAGCTGAGGAAACAGTCGGCCAATTTTTCCAAGAGGAGATATGGGACACCAGATCAAAGGCTTTTTTAAAATCCAGATATGTGACGTCAATCTCTTCTCCCTTGTCAAGGTGATGTGTCACCTAGTTACAGAAGATAAGTTTGGTCAGGCAAGACCTACCCACAACAAATTTGTGCTGGCTGTCCCTCAGGATGTTGCCATCAGCCAGCTTATGAAGAATGGACTCTCTGATTTTTTTCTAGAAGCTTTCCAGGGACTGAGGTCAAGTTGATTGACCTGTAGTTCCCTGGATCTACTTTAGTCCCTTTCTTGAAGCTTGGCAACACACTGGCCTTCTTCCAATCTCCAGGTACTTCACCTGAGTGCCAGAAGTTTTCAAAAATCTTTGCCAGTGGCTGGGCTATGACTTCAGTATACCTGGACGCGATTGCCCCAGGGTTATACTGAATCCCCTTCTCTTTTTTCTCAAATTCTGAAGAAAGATCTAGATGACATAATATTTAAAGAAAATTCTGTGCTTGTGCAATATGTTGATGACTTGCTTTTGGCATCTACCCCCCTTGAAGCCTGTAAAACTGATTCTTTAACTCTCCTCACCTCTCTTGCCCTAAAAGGCAATAAAGCATCTAAATAAAAGCTACAACTTTGTCTTCCTCATGTCCACTATTTAGGTCATGATATTTCCACTAGAGAATGACTACTTTCTTCTTCCAGATTAGAAGCTCTTCTTAAAATTCCTAGATCAACTACTGTGTCCCAAATGCATACCTTCCTAGCCATGGCTGACTACTATCACCAGTGGATACTTGGCTATGCCTCTATAGTCAAGCCATTGCAAAATCTGACTCTTGTTAATACCCGTTAGCCTTTACCCTGAACTTTAGAGATCGAAGCCACGTTTGCCTCTATTAAACAAGCTCTGTCGCAAGCTCCTGCCTTAGGCCTTCCCAATTATACTAAACCTTTTATTCTCTTTTGTCATGAAAAGGATGGATTTGCACTTGCAGTACTCACTCAGACACATGGAGACAAGCACCATCCCACTGCTTATTATAGCTCTGCTCTTGACCCAGTTGCAGCTGGACTTCCTCCATGTCTTCGTGCTATAGCTGCAGCTGCTGTCACTGTTGAACTTTCCTCTACCCTTGTATTACGTTGTCCCCTTACTGTTGCTGTCCCACATGCTGTAGCAGCCCTTTTACTAAAAACAAAAACCCAACACCTTTCTAATGCTAGATTAACTGAGTATGAAATATTGCTTCTCTCTGCTGGAAATGTCACCCTAACTAGGTGCCCTGTTTTAAACCCTGCTTCTGTGTTGCGTACCGCTTCGGATGGTGAACCCCATGATTACATTATTGTTGCTGCTCACCTAACAATGCCCTGCAATGTGGCCCTCACCAGGGCTTGCACCCTAGCCTCTGGTGCCTCTGTTAATATTTATACTGATTCTTGCTACGCTTTTGGTATTGTACGTGATTATGGTCAACTTTGGAAACAAAGAGGCTTCCTCACTTCCGGAGGTGCCAAGATTAGTAATGGTCCATACGTAAATGCCTTCTTGAATGCTTTACAATTACCTTCTGCTAGTGCTATTATTAAATGTCAAGCTTACCAGAAACCTTATGATGATGTTACACGTGGGAATGCGCTGGCAGATTCTGCTGCCAAAGCTGTGGCTATTTCCATTCCTCAGGCCACGCCTGTGTTTTTGTCTATTCTGACTGACCAGTCTCCATTGGCAAATCTTCATGACATTGCCCTCCTCCAAGATGAGGCTCCAGAACCAGAGAAATATACATGGAGACTGGCTGGGTGTTTGTTACACCCTGACCATTTGTGACACTCCCTGGACAGCCGCCTGGTTTCCCCAATGGTCCTTCTTCCTCATCTTGCTTGCATACACCATGGCATGGCACATGTGAGCAAAGGGGGGATGATAGAAGCCTTTAAGCTTGATTGGTTTGCTCCAACTTTTCTATCTGTGGCTCAACAGTACTGCCACACCTGTCCTATTTGCCAAGCCCATAATGTGGGAAAGCCTGTAAAAACAAGGGTGGCAGCACATCCCCCACCCTGGGGACCGTTTGTAAATTTACAATTATATTTTATTCAAATGCAGAAATGTTGTTCTTATGAATATGTTCTTGTTATTGTATGTATGTTCTCTGGATGGGTAGAAGCCTACCCATGTGCATAAGCTGATGCCATCACTGTAAGCAAAAAGTTGCTCAGAAACTTTATGCCAAGGTTTGTTATTCCTTTATCCCTAAACTCTGATAGAGCAACTCATTTTACTGAACAGATAATGAAAGAAGTCTGCAAAGACCTGCAGATCTAACAGAACATTCATTGTCCATACCATTCACAAGCCTTGGGCTGAGTGGAACGTCAAAATGGCATTCTGAAAAATAAACTTACCAAAATTTGTGCTGAGACAAACCTGAAATGGCCAAATGCACTTCCCACAGTCCTTATGAATGTGAGATCTACTGCCAACCGAAAGACTGGGCTTAGCCCACATGAAATTCTAATGGGAAAACCCATGAGAATCCCCACCTCGCCACCTGTTGCCTCCCACTTTTGCAATATACATTCACTTGATGATACCATTCTGAACTATTGTAAGGCACTAATGAAGTGTGTTAAGGCTATTTATTCACAGGTACAAGCAGCTCTCCCCAAAGAATCAGATGAACCGTGCCATTCCATCCTGCCTGGTGACTGGATCCATATAAAAGTCCATCAATGAAAGTCATCACTGGAACCTTGCTGGAAAGGCCCATTCTAGGTACTCATGACCACCAACACTTCAGTAAAGTGTCAAGGACTCCAGACATGGATCTACGCTTCACCCAGTAAGAAAACATCGGCCCCATTAGACCCAGAGTTTCCCCCATACCAGTTTTGTAATCAGCCTCCACAGACTGGTAGTGAGCCTAGCACCTGCCAGCAGGAGAGCTCAAGACCAGTAGTGAGCCAAGCGCCTACTGGCGAAGAGGATTTGCCACTACAGAGTGAAGAGGATGTGCCCCAATGACACCACTGTGCCCTCCAGGAAAGGAAAAAGGCCTCTACCTAGTTCCTGGTTCCCGAGTTGGAGTTGATTAGTCATGATTTGGGTAGTTTGCAGTATTTATTTTTGGACTATCTTATATGAACTTGACTCACCAGTTATGAGAAACTCTGTAAACCAAACTACACTTCCGCACCAACAAAGATCATTTCATGAAAATGTGTTCTTGTCTTTAGTTAATCAAATTAGGATAAATTTAAATGTCTCTCATTGTTGGATATGTAGTCATGTCCCCATCTATTCTACCAAAGGAATACCAATGATTCTGGTACCGTTGAGTGTAACCCAGATGTTAGCCCCTTGCTATTCAGATTTTCATGGAAATGAAACCTGGCAGAAAGTAAGTTGCAACTGGTCTGACTATGTAGGATTAGCATATGCCACCCCTGGAAAATTTTGTTGGATCTGTAATGGATCTCGTGTTGAAGTAGGAGTCAGGAAGTGCAAGGTAGAATTTAAGATAAATGGTACTTGGTTTTCTAATAGTTCCTGGATATCTAACTACTCCCCTGCAGGTCAATTTTCAGGCTATTATTCACAATGGATGATGTCCCCATGCTGTAATACAGGTGGATTTCCTGCATTAGCTGGTCACTATTTTGTGTGTGGAGATAAGGCTTATAAAAATCTTCCTTCAGGTTGGAGAGGAACGTGCTATGTCTTTGCAGTATCTCCTGCCTTTACTATTAGATCTCTTACCTAAAGGAAAAATTCACAATGTTCATGAAATTATGGAAAATCAAAGGTTTTGGGGTATAATGTTCCCCAGCTATGGTGCAGGCTTAGCTATGTCTGAGATAAAGAAGGTTGCAGCATATCTGGAAAAGATTGCTAATGTTACTTCTGATGGTTTTGATAAAATAAATATGGAAATGAAGGAAATAAGGCAGATGACATTGCAAAACTGACCTGTGTTAGATTATATACTAGCCAGCAAAGGAGAAGTCTGTGCTTTAATAGGTAAAGAATGTTGTACTTATATTCCTGATAATTCAGAAGATATCCAGGATTTAAGTAAACTTATTCGAAAAGAAGTAGCCAAATTGCATGAGTCAGACAGTTGGAACTTGAGTTCTTGATTTAGCTCTTTTTCCAGTTCCTTAGGCTCTACCATCATTCATAATTTGTTGATATTGTTTGTTGTCTTTCTTGGAGTTGCCTAGTGTTTATAATAATACAATGTTGCTTAAGTTGTGCTGCCAAGCATATGCAGAATAGCCCTTTAACCAGAAACGAAGTGTATAATTTGTATGTTGAAATAGCGGAAAGTAAAGAGAAAAAAAAACTAGAAGTTGAAAGGCAAATGGCTATAAATATCTAACCTGTTGGGCCAAAGAGGCCCAAAAGGGGGAATATGGAAATAAATTTAACCAGGCTCCTAACTTGACTAAGAAAAGAGACAGAGACCAGAGGTGTTGATACTGCTCATTTCAGAAAAATGTTCTGAGATAAGAAAATCCTGCATGCCTTGTTTTTGTCTTGATATATTACCTTGTGTGTGGATGTTAGTTTTCTTTTCTCTCTGAAAACCAGAAACTGATAACTGTTCCTATAAGCACAATGTTTCCCTTTTCTTTAAGTAAACTGCCTGTGTGTCTGTCTGTGTCAGACCAGTGACTTACTCCTATTTGCTTCTCCAAGGTCGTATTTTTTTTCTCTCTCTCTGTCTTAAGTATAAATATGCCTGTAAAGTTATAGAGTTAGAGAATTCCTTTGAAACAGACAAGTGGGTGATTCCTCTTGCTGTATGGAATTCTCCCTGTGATCACAGTATAGCCCTAAATAAAGAAAGGCAGGTTCTGTCAGTTCTGATTCAATCACAACACAAAGTTTGATTTCTTCCACACATGCATCATTACACATACACACCAGCAGTTAGCAGTGGGAGTTTGGCGGCTCCCACTGCTCATCTGGGGGGGAATGGGGGAGGGCGTGTGCCCCCTGATGTGCGCAAGGTTAAGTGGGGTGGGTGAGGCCAGGGCTGCACTGGGCTGTGTTGGGAGCAGGGACTATGCCCCTCTGCCACTTGCCCAGCCAGGGTGGAGTGGGTGCAGGACGGCACTGCTGTGCTGCTTCTGGACAAGTGGCACACAGCAGCGGAAGCCACTGCCCCACTCCCAGATAAGACACATCTCCATTCCATGCCCACCCTGCCCTGGCTGGGTGAGCAGCAGGAGGGCATGGGGAGGTAGCTTGTGCCCCCAAATCAGGGTGGGCACTGGGGTGGGGCAGAATGAAGGCTATAGGGTGACCATAGCCTCCCCATAGGGCCTGCTGTCCACCCAGAGAGCAGCCCCGGCCCCCTGTCCGCCCCTTCCCAATCTCAGGGCACGCACTCTCCCATGCCGTCCTGCACAGCTGGGGCAGGGCTGGCACAGGATGGAGCCGTAACTCATCCGGGGGGGGCAGGTCCCACTGCTGCATGCTGCTTGTCTGGAGGCAGTACAGTGGCCCTGTCCTGCACCCACTCCTCCCCAGGTGGGCAATTGGAAGAAGGGCATAGCCCTTGCTCCCAGTGCAGTCCAGTGCAGCCCTGCCCTGCCCTGCCCTGCCCTGTCCCACACAGATCTAAGGGCACACCCCACCTGTGCCCTCTCAGACAAGTGGAAGGAGCCACCAGACAAGCAACTTGCCCCAGCCCCAGGCCCTCCCTCACCACATGGGGCCTTGATGTGCCCCCCACACCCCTTCCCCCTGCCCTTCCACCGCACCAGACTTACCAGCTGGATGCAGCTGTATCAAGCATCATAAAGAAACCAATCCCTCATTTAAAACATTTTTCCTATGGGAAAATTGGTTCAGAGTTACAACGTTTCAATTTAAGACGCAGTTTTCAGGAACCAACTGCGTCATAAGTCTGAGTACTGCCTGTATTTCTCAATTCTCTCTCTCAAAGTGTTCACTTAATATTGTAAAGTGCTGTTTGACTGTTGTGTCAGGCCAAAATATTACATTTACAGTTTTGATATTACAGATACAGCATATTAGACTAAGGGGTCTTTTTCCAAAAAAGGGTAAAATGCCCACTTATTCAAAATAAGATTGTACCCAAGAATATTGTGCACAAATTCTTATTCTTTCTCTCACAAACATTAAGAACCAAATTTTATTCTTACCTAAACCAGTTTCAAATAAAATTATAAATTTATACCCATGTAAAGGAAAACATAATTTGATCCCAAGTAAATGAAGGATGGTTGCTGAGATTTTATGATGCTTAGATACCTGAGGATATAGCCACTCTCCTTCACTGATTGTTCCCTAAAAAGTTCATTATGTATACATTTGACTTACTTTATATGTGAACACGTCTTCCTAAGTGACTGCTCATGCAGATGGCAATCTTTGAATAAAATGCTTAATAATTTAGCTCACTTAACATTTGTAATCATGTAGCTCATAATTTACTGCAGAATTTAATGCATTTAGCATTTCTTTTTGCCACTGGCATGCTTCAGACAAAGTGTCCTCACATGATATAATAGGGTGTTTGGTTTACTACATCAGGTTGGGGACACATTTATAACCAGGGGAAATCAGTCTTCTGATATGCAAAATATATCACTGTCATCATTCCTCCTAGGGATGTTCTTGTAAGGGTAGAGTTTTAAAATGCATTGAGTAAAAATTATCCTTGTGCCAAGCATTAATCTTCCTCAAACATGAGAAGCTAGAATTTTTTTTCTTTTTTAAAGCTGTATAACAACATCAATAACTGTTTGTTGTTTCATCCAGATAATAGTTACCTCACATGGCATATGTAGCAGGCCTGGGGTGTCTCAGGCAGCCCATTGCCCCCTAGCATTCTGTTATGGTGTGCTTTCCTCTCTCTGGCACCTGACATGCTCTTACACTCATTTATCACACCTTGATGTTATAAATTATTTGTTTGGAAGATAGTTTTCAACTGACCAGGGTGGCAGTCCAGGAACTTCCCTTTTGTTGAAGAGCTCTCTCCTTCTCTGCACCTGGCCACAGTACTGAAGTCATATTATGGCCCCAGGCAGTTCTGTGGACTGCAGGGCAGCCTGCTACTACAGTCTCTGGGTCCTAGGGTGGCCTGATACCAAATACTCTTTGTCCCCTTGGCAATAATTACAGTTTTACCAACCTTACTGTGTTGAAAATAATGAGACAAACTCTTAAAAATCAAGAGATTTGGCATGTAAACCAGGAGGTACTATTTTTGTAGTGCATGTGTTGCAGGGCTTATTTGTGAAGGCATGGGAGGCTGTGGGTATGTGTGTGTGGGATTTGGAGCCTGGGGTAAGGGGCCCACATACCCTAGCAGAATGCAGGTATTGTGGGTAAGGAGTGAGGGGCAGCAGCAAAGCTGGGGGAACTGTGACTTGAAAGTGAGGGGCAGACACACAGACAGATACAGACACACAGACAGCACCAAGCTGGCAAGTGCAGGGGAAGAGGCGGGGGGGCATATCATGGCCCCA